TTTAAACTGCAGCCTTGATAATGTCCCCTTCACACACTCCTTCTTGGTCATACCCCCCTGCCCCGTTCCACTCCTAGGAAGAAACATCTTGCAGCTCCTAGGGGCCTCCTTACAGATCACAGCGAGCCTAAACCCCTCCTCTCACCTTCTCCTTCCTCTGCTCAAAGACCCTACCCCGTTAACCCAACCTCCAATCTCACCCACCCTAGTCAACCCTCAGGTATGGGACACCTCCAAGCCTGTTGTGGCCTCTCATTACACCCCAATTACCATCATGCTGAAAAACCCCACCATCTTTCCTTCTGGACCCCAGTTCCCAATCTCTAAAACCCATCATAAAGGTCTCAAAACCTATCATCTCCCACCTTATGGGCAGGAACTTTTAATTCCGGCCAACTCCCCAAGAAACACCCCAATTTTTCCAGTTCGGAAACCATCAGGAGCATACAGGTTAGTCCAAGACCTAAGGCTCATTAATGAAGTAGTCCCTATCCACCCGGTGGCCCCAAACCCCTACACTCTCCTCTCCCACATGCCACCTACCACCACCCATTTTTCTGTTCTGGACCTCAAAAACGCCTTCTTTATTATTCCCCTCCACCAGGATTCATATTTTCTTTTTGCCTTTACCTGGACTGACCCTGACACCAACCTCTCACAACTGACATGGACAGTCCTTCCCCAAGGCTTTAGAGACAGCCCCCATCTCTTTGGGCAGGCTCTTGCCTGGGATCTTGCCGCCTGCAACTTAGGTTTAAGCACTGTCCTCCAGTCTGTAGATAACCTCCTCCTGTGCAGTCCCTCATTACAAGAGTCTCAACAACACACAGACCTTCTCCGTAACTTTTTAGCAGACAAAAGATATCGGGTTTCCCCCACCAAGGCTCAGATTTCCACACAAACCATCACCTACTGAGGTCTGTCCATAACCCCTACCACACAGTCTCACTGCAGACCGCATTCGCCCCCTCCATGAGTTCCAACCCCCCATTAATGGAAATCAGATTCCCTCCTCCTTGGGATTAGTGGGGTTCTTCAGACACTGGGTTCCCAGCTTTGACCTCTTGGCCAAGTCCCTGTACAACGCTGCAAAAGAAACTCCTATGAGACCCCTTACTTCTCCCAAGCTGGTAGAGAAAGCCTTCACCACGTTATGGGACACACTCCTGCAAACCCCCTCTCTAAGCCTTCCCAATCCCACCCATCCATTTCACCTTTTCACTGATGAACGCAAAGGCATAGCAATTGGTGTCCTGGCCCAACCTGTTGGCCCCTCCTACCGTCCAGTTGCTTACCTCTCCAAGCAGCTGAATCCAACCTTATGGGGGTGACAGCAATGTCTCCATGCTCTGGGTAGTGCCGCCGAGTTAGGCAAGGAGGCCCTCAAGCTGACTCTCTGCCAGCCAGTGGTCGTTTTCTCGCCCCACTGCCTTACTGATCTGCTTTCACATCAGGCTCTCTTATTACTAAGCCCTTCACACCTCCAAAAGCTGCACCTTCTGTTTATAGAAAGTACCGCTTTATCCCTTCGCCTCTCCCCTCGGCTCAAGCCGGTCACCCTCTTACCAGCGCCTACCATTGACCCTGAACCCACTCTTGTCCAGAAGTTCTTGACGTTCTCGGGCAGCCCCTAGACAGGGTGTCTGACATTCCACTCCCCAATGCTGACCTCACTCTGTTCATAGATGGCAGTTCTGTGGTGGGGGCCGACGGAAGGCGGAGGGCGGCCTACGCGGTGGTCACCCTTGCATCCACCCTAGAAGCACAACCGCTGCCTGAGGGCACTACCTCACAAAAAGCAGAACTCATTGCTCTCACCTGAGCTTTCTCTCTGGCAAAAAAACAAGCGAATAACCATCTACACAGACTCCAAATATGCCTTTCTCATTGTTCACAGTCACTCTACTCTCTGAAAGGAACGTGGGTTTCTCGCATCTAAAGGCTCTCCCATCATTAATGCATCTCTAATCTCTGAACTCCTCCAAGCCTTAAAATTACCTGCAGAAGCAGCTGTTGTTCACTGCAAGGGGCATCAAACCTCGGGAAACCCTGTCTCCCAGGGCAATGCCCGGGCTAATGCCGCAGCACGAAAACTGACCACTGGAGCTTCTCCCTCCCCCATACTCTTCTTGTCCACCCCAGTACCTCCTTCCTATACTCCTCAGGAATACTCTTCCCTGTATGCCCGGGGTGGCCGCATTGGCCCCGGAGGCTGGATCTTCCTCAACGGAAAAAATTGCCATTCCCCAGCAGCAGGCTGTTCCCCTCCTCTCAGAAATCCACCAGTCACTGCACATGGGCCCCAAGGCTCCATTCAAGTTCCTAGATCCCCTCTTCTCCTTCCCAAATCTTCTCCAGTCCATCAAGCAGGTGCATGCTAAACGCTCAGTCTGCTCTAAAACGTCAACCCAGGAAGGCCTTAAACCCTGGTTTCCAACTGACCAGATGAGAGGACATCTCCCTGGCCAGGACTGGCAAATCAACTTCACTCACATGCCTCTCCACAAAACATTCCGCTACCTTTTAACTTTTGTTGACACGTTTTCAGGTTGGACTGAGGCCCATCCCACGACAAGAAAAACAGCGGATACAGTAGCCGACTTGCTCCTCAACCGCATTATCCCATGATTTAGGCTGCCCTCCTCTATCCAGTCGGACAACGGCCCAGGCTTCAGCTCCCAAATCGTCCAGCAGGTCTTCACCTCCTTTGGCATCACCTGGAAGCTGCACATTCCTTATCATCCCCAGTCTCCCGCAGTCCCCATTCCCACTCCTCTCAAGGTCACAAACTCCCCCACATCTTTCCTCTTAAAGGACGTACCTCTTCTCTAAGATCCTGAACGCCAGCCACAGGAAAAAATTTGTGAAGCCTCCGGGGTTACCTTCAACCAGATGCTGCTTCAGGCCCAAACCCACTTGCCCCTCCCTGACGAACCAGAAACGGCCCACCTCTAACCCCTCCCCTCCATGCCCCCAGGACAGCAGGAAGTAGCCGGATCGAACACGGTGCCCTATTCCTATCAAAGAGGTAGGAATGTCAGGGTGGGCGGGAGTAGGACAAAATGGCGGCCCAACTACAACCTAGAAAAGACGGCTGATGTCAAACCAGGGCCCAAGGAGAACCACCAATGATATGTTGCCGCTTCGTTCGGAGGGAACCAATCCCCAGCCCCCACAAAGAGGGCCAACCAAAATAAAACCCCGCCATATTCCCTGTTTGCTCTCGACTTTCTTGGCCCCACCATGCTGACCCAAAAACCTCGCCTGGGTGCGCAAACCCCAATAAAGCTCTGTACTGCCTAATTTTGTGGCTGATTAGCATTTATTCCTCAGAGGAGCCTAAGAAAACCTTTCATTAATAACTATGAGTTTGTTGTCATTTTACTGTTCATTTTATCTTCTTTTTCTTAGATGAAGCCCTTTAACATTTTATATAATAAGGGCTTGGTGATGAGGAATTCCTTTAACTTGACTTTATCTGAGAAGCACTTTATCTGCCCTTCCATTCTAAATGAAAGCTTTCCTGGATAGAGCAATCTGGGATGTAGGTCCTTGCCTTTCATGACTTCAAATACTTCTTTCCAGTCCCTTCTTGCCTGAAAGGTCTCTTGAGAAATCAGCTGACAGTCTGATGGGTACTCCTTTGTAGGTAACTGTCTCCTTTTCTCTTGCTGCTTCTAGGATTCTCTCCTTATCTTTAATCTTGGGTAATGTAATTATGATGTGCCTTGGTGTGTTCCTCCTTGGGTCCAACTTCTTTGGGACTCTAAGCTTCCCAGACTTCCTGGAAGTCTATTTCCTTTGCCAGATTGGGAAAGTTCTCCCTCATTATTTGTTCAAATAAGTTTTCAATTTCTTGCTCTTTCTCTTCTGGTAACCCTATGATTCTGATGTTGGAATGTTTAAAAATGTCCTGGAGGTTCCTAAGCCTCTTCTCATTTTTTTTTTTAAATTCTTGTTTCTTCATTCTTTGCTGGTTGGATGTTTCTTTCTTCTTTCTGGTCCACACCATTGATTTGAGTCCCAGTTTCCTTCCCATCACTGTTGGATCCCTGTGCATTTTCCTTTATTTCACTCAGTGTAGCCTTCACGTTTCATCTAATTTGCGACTGAATTCAATCAATTCTGTGAGCATCCTGATCACCAGTGCTTTGAACTGTGCATCTGATAGGTTGGCTATCTCCTCATCACTTAGTTGTATTTTTTCTGGAGCTCTGATCCGTTCTTTCATTTGGGCCTTTTTTTTTTGTCTTGGCACACCTGAGCCATGAAAGGTTAAGTGCCTACGGCAGGTTCTGCTGAAAGGACTGATGCACCCGACTGACTCAGAACATGCAGGTAAAAATGCTGGAGTAACTCATCCCAGTGTAAAAAGTCTACCCACATCCACACAACCTCGGTTCCTTAGAAGACAGTACATTCTCCTAAAATTTTCAATAATAGTTTTATTTCCTTTCTAAGACCTTAATATCTTTCCCTTAAGTTGTAGATTCCATTAATTGTGAATATTGCTAATGGAATAAATTGGTACTGTTAAACAAAATTGCTTGCCAAGTTAATTATGAACAGTAATACTTATTGGAAAATTAAGATGGCTTTCACAAAATTCCTCACATTAGGGAAAAAAAAAAGATTCTAATTCCTGGGGATATGCATTTGTACCCTGAGGTTTGACTTCCTGTCAAATGACCACCTAGAAAGCAACACTGGGCTGAACTCTAGGGATCTCAACCCAAACGACAGCAGTCAGGAGAGTTCACTAGGGAATCAATAACACATTTTCATGTCACTTGATTGCAAAATATTGACAGTGGTCTCCCCCCTGCACTTTTGTTGTAAAATGTGGAGAATTCCAGACTGCTAATTGAACCAGAGAGTATGGGTTTTTTTTTCTAGAATTTTTAAAAATACAATATACCTCCTCTTTAAAATCTCTTTAAATTTTTTAAATTAATGCTCACAACTGAAAAACAACTCATATTTGAATAAATAAAACTTACCACTTGGAGAATGTCTTCATCTTTTGGCATAACACTAAGTTCCAATGTTGTATCACTGAAATTAAATATACAAAAACAGTATTTTAGGGAAGGTGGAATGTGTGAAAAAGTCATAAAAGGAAAAGTAGTTAACTCAGAAATATTTCTTAAATTGCTTAAGAGTTTAAGTTTTGGTTTTTCTAAATCTTTACTTTTCAAATGCAAACCATTAAAATGAAATGAAATAACTTTTACAGATATGCTAGTTATGTATGAAAGAGAGCACCCTACCATATGTTTGAGCTACTCATGATCAGTCAAGACTTATTTATTATTTAGAAACAATTTATTTAGAAACAAAGTATATTACTTGTATTAAATAGTCTTGGATCAACATTCATGGGTCCATAATTTGTTATTATTATTTTATGTCAAGTAACATAACAAATCACACCTTTTTAGCATATATTCTCATTATTTATCAAATTAAGAGTATATTAACATAAAAATAACCAAAGAGCCTGCAAATTTAACATTTCAAGCAATATTAATTGAGCATTCTCCTTTTGAAATATCCCTTTCAGCCTCAGAGGTGAAGGAAATCAGAGCTGACTATTACAACTTGTTTTTAAAATCTATATAGCATTTCAACTACTGTATTTGCTTCTCTGTGATTTCATTTTAGAACCTTTAGGAGAACACTCCAAGTCTCATTTCATTTTGGTACTATAAATTTCCTCTTTAAAATAACAGAGTTTTTCTACATTTGAAAAAGTTCAAAGGGGTAAATTATACTGAGTCCTGTGGCCTGGAATTGCATTTAGAGAAGACAAGAATAGTGGTGCTGTCCCCATTGATGCTTCAGTATCTAACCTAATAATATCAGATAGAATTTTCCCCAATATAATCAAGAGATTAAAAAAAACAATCAAATGAAAAACAAAAAAAGAAAATCTACTAATTTATTAGTGTCTCTTTTTGATAAGTCTGAACCATTATAGGAGGGTTCATAAATGCTAAGAGAACAGAAAACCAGTAAGAACCACAGGTTCAAATAAATGTAACTACTAAAATATGTAGGCATGTGTATGTCAATATTTAGAGTTGGTAGAAAATACATACTGATGTTTCGATAAATTCTTCTACAAGGATACATTTTTACATTAATACACTGCAGAATCTCAATGGCTTTGTGCTGCATTATCCATTTGCTACCAACTGCAGACAAAAGGAACACAGTTGTTTTTTTTTTAAAGAAAATAAGATAATGAAAAAACAGTTTTTCTCTATTTTTCAAATAGCTTTATTGGTTGAAAAATTAAGACTATCATTTCAAAGTGTTATTACTCTGAAAGATGAACTGTGCCAGTAACAAAAAATTAATTTAAGTGTTCAGGAAAACAAAGAATAAATTATATCACTAGGAAAATATTATTTTTAAAAAAGAGATGTTAACAAATATAGTAAAAGTCCTCAAATTATAGGTTGACAAAATATACTGGTATATTTACAATGATCTACATTATTTTAAAGAGAAATTTTGGGCGAATCTCCCCACTGCCTCTCCAGAGACTTTAAACGCTTCACTAATCCCCAAGTCTACTCCATACCTTAAAATCAATTGGTATCAATGTAAGTAACACCTAGAATTCAACATTACAGGATAGATTTAAGATCTGCTTTCTCTAAGGATGCCATTATATATTGAAACATTAAAAATACTCTGAGATAAATAAATCATGATCACATTATTTCACTGTAAAAATGACGTTGCATTAGGGCATTTGTGTAAACAACATAGCATGAGCTGCTTTAGACATGGGTAAAAGAGATTGATAAATATCTTTATAAAATAAAAAATTCATTTTAATTACAGAGAAGTTGGTATGGCTAATATAAACCAATATATAATCTAGAAATTACTATACGTGAATCTGAGAAGAACCTCCTACAATAGTGATGATCTAGAAACTAGACCCCAGATTTATGCCTACTCCTCACAGAAATTCAATATGGTAACCTTTGGTTTTCAATTTTTTATTTGTAATAATAAAAAAAAACCTTTCTAGGTGTGTGGTAAAAAAAAAAGAAAATAGGACTAAATTATCTTTGAGGTCCCATAGATAGTCACTCTATAAATATTTATTTACCTTTAAAGCTCATAAGTCTATCATTCTGTACAATGTAGGCAGACAAATGAATTGTAAGAGAATATCTTGCTATCTTGGTCAAAACAAATGAATACATCTGAGCCAAGACTATTATTCTATAAATTATTTAAAGACAACTTATCTTAGTAAGAAGTTTTAAGATCATTTATGAATACATTTAGTTATATATTTATTATAAACAAATTAGCACTTACCACTTCAAATAAAAGTGAGAAACTTACAAAAAAATCTAAAATGTGTGCCTCTTAAACTCTGGAGTTTTAATCACAAGTTTGACAAATCCTGCTGAAGCAAAGCTACCAGATGAGCTGACCTTGGAGTTTCTTCCTGGCCACTCCCACGTGCACCATGCACTTCAAGTCCCACATCTCCCCATCACACCAACTCCCCACAGGAGTGCAACACTGCATTAAATCTGCTCACTCTGCTGATTTAGACCCATCTGTAGCCAAAATTAATCATATTTCAAGAATCTTACCTGTTCTGAATTAAAGCAATTACTTGGGAATACGTCTTTCCAATAACACTTTCTCCATTGACTTTTATAATTCGGTCACCTTCAAAGAAGAGTAAAAAAAAAAAAAAAAAACCAAAAACATATATATATATATATGTATATCAAATGAGGAATTCCTAAAAAAAGTCACTTTTCAATACTTTTGATATATATCTTTTATTAACTAATTAATTTTTAAACAATTTTTAAAATTGTTTTTCATGAAATATATCTTGAGAAACATACTTTTTAATGAATTCTTACTCATTGTTTTTTAAAAACATCTTTTTAAAGTGTTTTTTATAATATCTTTTAAAAGCTGAACCTAAATTTTAATATATCCAGCTTCTTATGAAATACAGCCATGCTTTAAATAAGAGTTCCAGTCATTTATGAATTTGGACACCTCAGAAGGTATAATTACCAAGAGACCACAGCTCTACTGTACTATCTATGCCCCTAATAGCTATTTTCTGAGTTGTAGTTTTCCTGCTTGTCACCTGTGAGAGAAAAACATTATTCCACAGATTACGTAACTGATTGTTTTAGTATCTCAGTGTCCTCCAAATCCAGCCCAGCTGATTTCCTTGTAGTATTCTTTGAATCTATTTAGTTTATTGACTGGTGCTCTATTACAAACTTAAATATGGGTCTGCATAAGGTTTTGATGTTTATACATGTTAACTTGTTCTTCATTGTAATGGAGAAATGGACATTCGGATTACTCAGAAAAACTCAGGGGAGTACAAAGGAAAAGACTGGGACATAAAGGACAGGTGAAAAGAGGAAGAAAAAAAAATGTCCTTTGTGCTGATCACAGTATCTGTATTTCATGTTCTCCATCTTGTGATGCTTAGAATGTGACAGGTGATACATTCTAGGAAATGGGATCTCATATGTACACTGACATGCACATTTTATATATTAATGATATTAAAATTAGGCTTACTTTAAGTATGATAAAAAAGATAATTAAGGTAGGTAATAAAGGTAGGCAAGAGTGCCTCCTCATAAATCTTATCAATGATACTTGTTACTGATATTTGATAATATCTATAGCTAGAAAGATAGCATATTTATAGCTAAAAAGATAACATCTCATTCAAAAGGCACCAAAAGATAGTTTTTCACTAATACTTTACTAGTTTTTCACTAATAATTTAAATTATTCTATGTTTAAAAACACGAGAGAAGAGCAACTATCTTCAAGTGTGCATTCATCTAAATGAAATCTCTTAGTTTTTATTAAAAATCACAAATCAGAAAACATTTTCAGAACAAACCACTATCAAACTATATCCACTGATACCTACATGAGGCTAGGCTTGCACTGCAGTAGAGATTTAGGCTACTTTGTATGGAGCTAATTAATTAATTCAGATCAGATACTTTCAAAAGTTAGACACAGATCCAAGAAGATTATTTCAATTATGTCAGTATCTTCATCATTTTCCTATGCTATAATCCTTTGTCAAAATGAAATGTGTGCAAAAGAGGTTCTTTAAAGGGCCTCCAAGAGTCCATTGTGTAAGTGGTAACCAAAACGGCCCACAATTTATAATTCATATTATTTCTGTACAAACACATCCATTTGGGTACCAAGAAACATAACCAATTGAGGTCTCAAAAACAGTAATAACAGATGTGAAGAAAAAGAAAGAAACATACAAAAAGATAGCTAAGGAAAAATAAAAAAGCAAAATAGAAATTAAAAGGTATTGTTTAAAGAAGAGCATTAGCACCTGTGCACAATCCAGCTTCAAAAGCAGGTCCTCCTTCTCTAACCTGTTTAACAAATATGGTATCCATGGGTTCCAGGCGGTTTCTCTGTTTTCCTGTGGGAGACAAAAAAAGCCCAATGTATGGTTGTACTTGACAATCTTTTATTAAATACCAAAATGTAAAATGATATTTAATTGAAACAATTAAGCAAAGATTCTAAATGAAGCAGTAAATACATACCCTAAATCTGGGTGCTAAAATCATAATTTAGGGGTTTTCATTAATTCAAAAATTTATTTTGTTTCTTCCATAAGACAACAGTAGTAACAGTTTCCATTTACTAGGCACATTCTCTCATATGTACCCATATTCTGTATGTACCCAGTAAACATAAGTAATACACTAAGTACTATATATAGCTAAGAGCTGATTTCTATAGCAAGGAAGTATTACTATCACCAATGCATAAGAAAAGAAAACTGAGACTCAGGGAGATTAAATAAATTCTCCAAGGTCACATCCTTAGATTACACAAGCAGTATTCTACCACTTTTTTTTTTTTTAGTTTTATATCTATATTTATTTATTTTTTTTTAAATTTATTGATTATGCTATTACATTTGTCCCTTTTCCCCCCTTCCCTCCCCTCCACCCTGTACCCCCTCTCCCACCCACGTTCCCCCCCCTTTAGTTCACTTCCATGTGCAATTCTTATGAGTTCTTTAGCTTCTACCTTTCCCGTACTATTCTTGCCCTCCCCCTATCTATTTTCAACCTACATTCTATGCTACTTATTCTCTATACCTTTCCCCCCCTCCCCCTCCTCCCACACCCCCTGTTGCTAGCCCTCCATGTGCCCTCCATTTCTGTGGTTCTGTTCCTGTTCTAGTTGTTTACTTAGTTTCTTTTGGTTTTGCTTTAGGTGTAATTGTTAATAATTGTGAGTTTGCTGTCCTTTTACTATACATGTCTTTTTCTTTATCTTCTTTTCTTAGATAAGTCCCTTTAGCATTTCATAAAATAAAGGCTTGGTGATGATGAACTCCTTTAATTTGACCTTATCTGAAAAGCACTTTATCTTCCCTTCCATTCTAAATGACAGCTTTGCTGGATAGAGCAATCTGGGATGTAGGTCCTTGTCTTTCATGACTTGGAATATTTCTTTCCAGCCCCTTCTTGCCTGTAAGGTCTCTTTGGAGAAATCAGCTGACAGTCTGATGGGAACTCCTTTGTAGGTGACTGTCCCCTTATCTCTTGCTGCTTCTAGGATTCTCTCCTTCGTTTTTACCTTGGCTAATGTAATTATGATGTGCCTTGGTGTGTTTCTTCTTGGGTCCAACTTCTTTGGGGCTCTCTGAGCTTCTTGGATTTCTTGGAAGACTGTTTCCTTTGCCAGATTGGGGAAGTTCTCCTCTATTATTTGTTCAAATAACTTTTCCACTTGTTGCTCCTCCCCTTCTGGTACCCCCTATAATTCGAATGTTGGAACGTTTAAAGGTGTCCTGGATGTTCCCAAGGCTCTCCTCGATTTTTTTTAATTCTTATTTCATCATGCTTTCCTGCTTGGTTGATTCTATCTTCCTTCTGGTCCACTGTATTGTTTTGAGACTCAGATTCCTTCCTTTCTCTATTGGCTCTCCTCCGCGTATCTTCCTGCATCTCTTTTATGGTAACCTGCATCCTTTCATCTAAATTGCGCCCAAAATCAACCAATTCCGTGAGCTTTCTAATCACCAGCGTTTTGAACTGTGCATCTGATAGATTGGCTATTTCTTGGTCGCTCAAAAGGATGAGTCCTGGGGGACTGATCTGCTCTGTTGCACACATGTCTTATGTCTTTCCCTGTCTCTCTCTCTTTTTTTTTTTTTTTTCCGGACTGGTCGCTCTTGTTAAGGTGGGAGGCGGAGCCTTAGGTGTTCACCGGGGCTGGGCGCCCCAGTCGCTAGATTGTGACGTTATATGTGGGGGCGGGGGCGGGGGCGGGGGCGGGGCGGGGCGGGGGCGGGGGCGGGGGCGGGAGGGAATCAATGGCGGCAGTTCAATTCTCCTGGGCCCAGACCTTTCCCCGGGCTCCTGGGCTGCGAGCTCTGCCCTGGTCCACAATCGCTGCCCCACTGGGTCCGGCAGCCGCAGCTTGTGTACTCAGGGTCCACCGCTGCGTTCCTGCGCCCCGCTGTCGTGCCGATTCCGCGCCAAATTTCCCCCGACCTCCGTGCGCTGCCGGCCCGCGCCAGCCCCGCGCCCGCTCGGCTCGTTGTCTCCTACCAGTCTGGATGTACGGGTCTACTTCAACTTCTTGGCTGTCCGACTTCCATTCAGATGAATCCCCTGTCGGTTCTGGGTGTTATGCTGACTGTATTTTGTTGTTGTTCTAATCTTGGTTGTGCGAGGAGGTACGGTGCGTCCACCTATTCCTCCATCTTGCCGGAAGTCTCCTACCACTTTTTAATACTGCATTGTGCTAAGCTTTAAGCTATAATGATGAACAAGACATAGTACTTCCCCTTTAGGGATTCTGGTAGGAGAGAGACAAACAAAGAAGAGCACTATAGTACAAAAAGCATACAGTCCTGACAATGAGGAGCACATGATCACCCTGCAAGTCAAGTAATTCACAAATCCCTGTCTATAAAGCACCTGCAGTAACATTTACGGTGCTTGCTAAAAATCAGAGGGGTCCAATCAGAAATCTGCTGCATCAACAAGTTTTCCAGGTGAACCATACACCCACTAACACTTGAGGACAACTAACAGTTTCAGTAAAATAGAAGCCAGGAAAAGATTCACAGGTAAGAGGACATTTAAGCCAAATGACAAGTATCATGATAAGTACTCTGGGAGAACAAAAAGGTAGGCAGCGGTTCTCAAAGAGTAGTCCCCAGATGGACAGCATTGGTATCACCGGGGAATGAGGTAGAAATGCACATCTGTGAACTCCACCCCAGATCTACTGAAACAGAAACTCTAAGGTGTCTCCAATGCTCACTCCAGTTTGAGAACCCTAGAGCTGAACTTAAACAAGAATGTAACCGGTAACATGCGTGAAGTAATATAATACTCGTTAACAGCAGCACTAGGCAGAAAATGACTATATGTCAAATACAAAGGCTTTACAAGGACTGCGATATAAAACTGAATTTTCATCATGGTGTATCACAAAGGTGGCTCAAAAGAAGTTTCCCAGTAAAGGAATACTGATCAGTGGCTACCCTTACATATTTACCTATTTATACTGAAAAAAGTCCTCCTAACTACTGAACAGCTAACTCAACTACTAAAAAAGCAACAGGTTTAGTGAAAATTGCTTATTTTAAAAACCAGTAGACATAGATTCAAACCCTTGCCTTGTCACTTCATAGTCGAGTTGCAATTAACTTTTTTGCTTAAAGAAATCATTACTTTTTCTTCTATAAAATAAATAATTACTCTATGTTTTTATACTCCTCAAGGGTTTCTGTGAAGACTAAAAGAAAACAGGTAAAAGCACTCAGTATAGCAAATAACTGTGGTAATTTCTCAGTAGATGTATATTTCTGCTCTTCCTTGCATAGTGCTTAAATGAGGATGACTATCATGCTATTTTCATGTTCTCAAGAATTAAAATTTTGAATACTTATATGTCCAGATAACATGAAAACATTACGACTCCTTTTGTCCCTTCTGATGAGCTATGACAGATATGACAGACAGCTGTGATTGCTTTGTCCATAAGATTTTGGAGTAAAAAGACAACAAATATTAGTTAAATCCCTACTACACAGAAGAATGCCTAATTCTTAAAGTACTTAGGGACTAATTATATCTGCAACTTCAGTTTCAAGTGGTTTGCAGGGGAAATAAACCAAGATACCACACCCCCAGATGCACACATGGTTAAAGCAAACATAGCAACATGTAAATTGTTGAGTTAAGATGGATGGCATTTGTTTGCTGTACTTTGAAAATCATTTTTTGTTAAAAGCTGGGGGAATGTTCCTGTATGTGCCAGGCTTTACTTTCCTTCATAAGTTATCACTCGCTACCTAAAATTAGTTTTATATCCTTACACATTGGTTGTATGTCTCTCCCACTAAAATGAAGAGCGGGGACTTTGTCATGTTCCCTGATATCTGTGAGACCTACAACAATACCTGACACACAGCAGGCATTCAATAAGTAATTATTCAATTAATGAAAAAAATTTATTATCTAGTTTAAGTCTCACAAGTCTTCGAGATGGGCTTAGGATCCTAATATCACCATTGCACTAAGGAAAAAACAGAGACTAACTCTTTGTACTTGCAAAGAGACAGAGAAGGGATTTGAGCACAGGTTGGACTCCAAACATGGTGTTTCATGCAGCTTCAGAAGGAACTGAACTGCTTACTCATTTGTCAAGCTTTACTGAATACAAGTAGACAGTACACTTAACAATTAATTTGAAAGGATGCAAACACTGAATTCTGATCAAATTGGTAGTCAGGCTAGGTCCCTCTGTGGCCAACTTGCCATTTACCACAGCTGGCATAAGGAAAACTATCTATTTTCTCTTGGCTAGAGATATGAGGGTTTAATAAGTTTTGTTGTATCAAGTCATTGCTTTCAAGAAAAGAGTTATATAAGAAAAGAGAAGAAACATTTTTCTTATTAATGTCTTCTAGTCTACTGTATCCCAAAGGTGATAATACCAGACTTAGATTTAAAAATACAAAATGTCAATGACCATTAATGAATTCTATAATAAAAAGTTGACTGAGTAGCAATGTAATGACTTTTGAAAATTTTTGACAGAAAATTTCACTTACACAGAACAATTTGTATGTAGTCCAAAATAATTCGGTTCTAATTTCCATAAAGGAAATACTGATTTTGCAATGACTGCTTGTGTAAAAAATGACACTTTGCCATCGACAAATCTCTCAATATGCTATGCCTGAAAACATATGAATGGACTTAAAAAAGATATGGAATACACTAAAAAAAGAGGCCAATCCTATAGCAAGTCCTATTACACCTGCTGAGAGTTACACTTTTGATTCTTGCTTCCGGGCTTCCCTTTCTGGACTTTCTCCAAAATTCTGACTTGCTATTACTGCCCAGGTATTATTCAATTCCTCTGGACAATAGAAACATC